AAAACAACTTTTCATAAACATAAATTCTTATATAGAGGTAGTTTAATCGTTAGGCAGATCGACTTGTCACACTGATTCGATAAAAAATACATATTTATTCTATAAAATATTATATTTCTGTTTATGTTATTTCTCTTATTTTTTAAAGCATAAAATTTTCTAATAAATGTATATATTGACCTAATGGTTAGACGACCTTACACAAGAACAACCGTTTCGTAAATAATTTACCAACTATATGTGTAGGGCTCGTTTACTATCCAAGTTATTAGAATTATATGATTTGGATGGATATCACTCAATATCACTTTATGTAGAAAAGTTTGAATGATTTATCCTACCATGTAAACATTTGATAGGAATATGATGCAAGAAAATAAAGGAGTCCCTATAGAATTAGTTTGTGTTACGTGTTAATTAATCCCTTGTTTGGTATGTAGAATTTGGAGTCGTCACTTAAGAAATCACGAGCAAAATGGAAAATTGTCGTTGGACATCATGCCATTAGAAGTGTGGGCCACCATGGTGACACCCCAGAGCTTATAACTCACCTTCTTCCCATTCTTCAGGTAAAAATAAAATAAAATAAAATAAAATAAAATCACTCAAATATTCATAAGAGGTTATTTTTTTTTATTAAAAAAAATCAAATAAATATTGATCAACAATCATTCAACGTGATTTATAGGCCTACAATGTCGATTTCTACATGAACGGGCACGACCATTGTCTCGAACATATCAGTGACAATACGAGGTACGATAAAAAATTAAAATCACAATAATTTCAGAGAGGAAATAAATATAAGCAATTAATATTCTTTATTAATTTTTTTTGGGTTTATTTAATTTTGCAGCCCTATCCAATTCTTGACAAGTGGGGCCGGGTCAAAGGCATGGAGGGGAGATGTTAAGAGCCTAAATGAAGAAACCCTTAAATTTTTCTATGATGGACAAGGTTTTATGTCTGTTCAATTGACAGAAAATGAAGGGGAAATTGTTTTTTATGATGTGTTTGGAAGAGTGTTACACAAATGGGCAAAGTCCAAGCAGCTGCATTTGGAAATGTAATTACTTTAGGTTGTGAGAATATATGTTGTGGCTCAATTTATTAAGATAGGTGCAGGTGTAATTAAATAAAAAGTAGAAAAATGTTTTGTTATTGCCCAACCTCACAAGTTCTACTTTTATAGTTTTGTAGAGTATAGTTTATAATTGTGTTTACATTGTTTGCCATCTAACGGATTTCGTCATACTTGATCCGGAGATGTGAATATGAAGTATTTCATTTTGTGTTATTAGATGACAGATAAAATTTCACAAAAATATAAATATATTGAACGTCTAATATAATATATTAATTAATTTGGGCCTCGTTAAATTTGATGTAATATACATCGAAATTCTACTATTTAATTAATTAATACATATTTGTTTATTTTTTGTCATAAATTCAAGATAAATAGGATATATTAATAATAAAGTATTTATTTTTTACCCACCAAGTCAAAATTATAGGATACGAAAAAAATCTTAGAATAAAGTAAGAGATTATATCAAATCATAAAATTAAGACCTCCAAGCTCTCTACTATACAATAAAGGACTCTCCTCGAAGCCATAAATCACACTTCATAAGCCAATGTCTCGAGTTCAAGAGCTCTCAATAATTCTCTTGAAGATGCATGTAAAGGTGTTCTTGAAGACCACAATCATTCAAGTTGAAGATCGACATTAAGTCCAAATCAGTCTCTAAGACGAATCAAAGAAGAAAGACCGTCAAGATGTTCTTAATCAAATCAAGTTTTAACATTTAACACGGTAATAGTCATTCGACCCCCAAATTCATGTTAGAGAAATTCAAGATTAAACTCGAACGAGATCCACTTGTCAAATCCATTTAAGATCAAATCGAAGTCCGTGAAGAGAAGAATTAAAGAGGACATATAGAAATTGTACCCGCAATATCGTTCGATCGAAATAAAATCATGTTATACAAAAGTTATATGTTTTCCATAAATTTTGTAGCTACAAATTTGGCGCGCACAGTGGGAGTGAGACCATCTGTGCTTCTCATCTCTTCTCTTGAAATCAAGTTCAAAATCTTTGAAAATGCGTGAATACCTCTTTGAAGACAATATACAAGGGGGACTACTAAGGATGATGTCTTCTCAAGCAATGAAACTGCTGAAAAAGGTCTACATCATCAAATTTATGCAAATGGAGGCAAACAATAGAGTTTCTACATTCCTTCTTAATCCTAATCTAATGGGGCAATTTGCATGAAGAGCTTCATCAAATCAATTTCAAATGCTCCTTGATACGAGCCTAAACTATCTACAATGCACCTTGATACGAGCATAAACTATCTACAATGCTCCTTGATACGAGTTTAAACTATCTACAAATTCAATTGTTCCTTGATACGAGCCTAACTATCTATAAAACTCTTCAATATCAAAATCTCCAAATTATCATGCTCCTTGATATATATGAACCTTAACTATTTACAATGCTCTTGATACGAGCCTAAACTATCTTCAATGCTCATTGATAAGAGCCTAAACTATCTACAATGCTCCTTGATATGAGTTTAAACTATCTATAAATTCAAATGTTCCTTGATACGAGCTTAAACTATCTATAAAACTCTTCAATATCAAAATCTCCAAATTATCATGCTCCTTGATATGAGCCTTAGCTATCAACAATGCTCCTTGATATTATCCTAAACTATCTAAAATGCCCTTTGATATGAGCCTAAATATATTTACAAATTCAAGTGCTCATTGATATGAGCCTAAACTGTCTACAAATTTAATTGTTTCTCGATATGAGCATAAACTATCTACAAGGCTCCTTAAAATGAGCATAAAATGTTTACATACCAAGATCTCCTTGATAAGAGAATAAACTATCTGCAAATTTCAAGGCTCCTTGACACGAGCATAAAATGTCTGCAAATTTGAAGACTCCTTGACACGAGCATAAAATGTTTATAAATTTGAAGGCTCCTCCATACGAGTATAAAAGGTCAATAAATCAAATAAAGAACTCTTCTTACACGATTATAAATTGTCTTCAAATAAAACCAAATGAATAACTCTTTTGACAAGAGTATAAATTGTCTTCAAATCAAATCAAATCAAGACTCCTTGACAAGAACATAAAAGGTCTACAAATCAAGATTCCTTGATACGAGTATAAACTATTAACAAAACAATTCATATGAAGAACTCCATGAACGAGTATAAACTATTTTTAAAATCAATTTAATACTCTTTGATACGAGTTTAAACTATCTACAAATCAAGTCAATTGAAGAACTCATTAGTACGAGTTTAAACTATTTACAAATTCAAGTTGAAAAACTCCTACATAAGAGTTTAAACTATGTGACTCTCCAAATCAAATCCAAAATTTTGAGACTCATTCACTACCAAGATATTTTGTCCGTTAACAAGTCTCAAGGGGGATTTGTAGACATCGAAATTTTAATATTTTATTAATTAATGTCTTTATTTATTTTTGCACATAAGTTTAAGATAAATAAGATATATAATTAATAAAGTAATTCTTTGTTGCCCACCAAGTCAAATCTTAGGATAAATAAAGAGATTATATCAAATCATGAAGGACCAATCAAATTGATGTCTTTTTCTCCAAGGCTCTCTCTCCTACACTTATATGCGGCTTTACTCAAAACTACAAATCACACCTCATAAATCAAAGTATCAAGTTTAAGAGCTCTCAATCATTTTCTTAAAGATCAAACATTGAAGTTGAAGGTCAACGTTCAAGTCCAAAACAGTCTTTGAGAAGAATCAAAGAAGAAAGACCGTCAAGAATGTTCTCAATCAAATCAAGTCCTAACGTTTAATATGGAAATAAGTCATTCGACCCCCCGAATTAATGTTATAGAAATTCAAGGTTAAACCTGAATGAGATTCATTTGAAGGTCAAATCGAAGTCCACGAAGAGAAGAATCAAAGAAGACATATAGAGATTGTACCTGCAATATAGTTTGATCAAAATAAAATCAAGTTGTACAAAAGATTTACGTTTTTCATAAGATTTATTGTTACAGTCACATTTATGAAAAAAAAAATACATTAATTACCTTTACGGGATTAGGAACTGACAAAGACGAATTATTTAATTTCATTTTTTTCTCCTGCCACTTTAGGTTAACTAAAAATGATATGAATGCAATATTTTAGTCGTTTCATTTTTGCAAGTGTATTTTAGTTATTTTCTTTAAAAACTAGTACGTAACCCGTGCGATGCACGGACTGTATACTTTTTTCGGAAACATAATGTAGTACCGGTGCGCAGTACGGTGGGATTATTTCCTCAAACCTTTTTGTCTAAACTTTATTTAATATTTTTGTTTATAAATTAATAATTTGATTGTAATAGAAAAAAATAGAGAGAAATACAAATTACCAAAAAAAAAAAAAAAAAAATCATATATTATTAAACACTTCTCTATACACAACATTAGTGGTTTGATTTGCTTTCAAACCTTCTTCTCCACAAATTAAAATTTTAAGACCCTTTCTATTAGTAACACGGGAGACAGCGACATATAACTGGCCATGACTAAAAACTGGTTTCTTCAAGAATAAGCCAACATGAGATAAGGATTGACCTTGACTCTTGTTTATAGTCATTGCATACAAAACCATAATGGGGAACTGCCTTCTTTGGAATTTGAATGGTACTCTAACATCCGAAGGAGTTATGGTCATTCGAGGTATCAAAACTTTATCACCTGCATGATCGCCAGTAAGAATCTTACACTCGAGAACATGATTGGAGAGTTTGGTCACAACCAATCGTGTACCATTGCAGAGTCCCATTGAGTGATCCATATTCCGCAACAACATAACTGGAGTTCCGACCTTCAAATTCAACTCATGATTCGGTGTTCCAGAACACTTGATAGTATTCAAGAACTCAGGAGTATGGAGTTGTGCCAGAAAGTCGGTATTGGAGTCAGATTTACACGTACTGTCTGAGCTTAAATACGTGCGTCCTTCAGTCAAATTCAACGACGACATGTATGCATTTATAGATTGTACGATCTCGAGTGTTGGCGCGAGTATAGCCCTATCTTTCAAGTAACTTGGATCATCGGTTGCATTCTTGAACATCGGATACGTGCTTTCAACGATTTTTGCAATTGGATCATCGGATAAGAAAAAATATAATTTAAAAAAATTTACCATTGGTGATGTTTGATAATGGTAGACTTTGAGAAGTATGCAACACACTTCGCCATTGATATGAAACCTTGCCGGAATTATTGTTGTTTTCAATCGGAATAAAAGAACATCCAGTAACAGGAGAAGGTGTAGCATATCCTATAGAAATAGAATGGAATATTAAGGATACAAAAAAAATCAGTAAATAAAAAAAATCATATTATATAAAAAAAATTAAATATATAAATGTATAAAACAAAAAACAAATTAATTAAAGGTGACAAAAAATAATTATTAGAAATTTTATTTTACTTATATAAAACACATAATAAATAGTAATTTTTTATATTGGGTTAAGAACAATATATCAAAAATTAGGCTTTAAAATCTATTAATGTAATTAATAATCAAATATATGAGATTAATTGGACAAATATCATTTTACACTCATTGCACAAAAACTCAGCCCATTTTAAATAACCATTAAAATAGCCCAATTGGTAAACCAGCCCAATCATAAAAGTAGGTTTTAGCCCAATCTGATCCGAAGCCCACAAGCCAAACCATAAAATCGGACGGTTAATATTTTGTCAACAGATCGAACGGTTGTCATTAACGGATCTTGTGTATAAAAGGAAAGTTTAGATCATGTAGGGTTTCATTTTTTCATTTCGGCACCACCTCACTCCTCTCCCTTCTTTTTCGCCGCTTGTCTGAGAATCGAACAATATGTCCGATTTCTTTCCTTGCCCGATCTATATTCTAGAATCAAATTTCCTGTTTTGGTTTGTGTTCGAATTGATCAGTTGACTTTCCAATTTTTCAAAATCGAAAAGATTGGTTTCGATTTTCACAAGAACAGTTTCTAATCTTAGAAACAATTGTGAAATTTGAAATCTTTCTCCGATATTTACTTCGATCACCGATGAAAAATGGATGATCGGCCGTGTTTTTTACCTATGGCGGAAAGGTACTACGAATTAGATTTGTATATTTAAGCTTTGTTTTTTTTTTTGTTCTTACCTGGACAGAAAGTTCGTTAGTTTTGTTGTCGATTTGTATTGATGTGTCTATGTTACGTGTGTGTCTGAGA